ATATCCGTTATTCCGTTAAATTATACTAGTATTTACTACTATACATTTTTACTTAATTTTGAAAATTTGATCGTATAATGTCCTTTACTATGGTTCCGTATAATGTTCCTAATAAATGTTTGCTAATCCAATTACAAATTATATTTGGTTAATTAACTAATATTATAGGAAATCAAAATCCAAAATGACCAAATACTCTCAATATGACCTTGATTATACATGCAATGTATTAATTTGTTTGTATTTAATTCGGGAATAATGTTTCAATAATCATCAATATCGTATTTTTGAAAAATCAGCAATATTGAATGTATAATATTTATTAATATATGCATTAATATATGCACGCGTCACTACAAGAATCAATTTTAACCTCTATGGTCTGTCCGTACCTAGTGTTTATTACCGTTTTTGTTACTCATTCAATCAAATTTAACATTTTCCATTATGATTTGCGTTTTTCGATTTTGTTGTTTTGGTTTGATGACCAAGCTTAAGGCCAAATTTCAATGTAAAAACTTGGGGTACTGAGATCCCCTTTTTTTTTTTTTTCATATTATCTTATGGTTGTAGATACCTGTATAATGAAAATTAAAATGTTAATTAATACGAACAAATTCGGGGGTGCTAACCCCCCCCCCCCCCCCTCAATTGCGCAAGAGGTAAACCTCTTAACTTATATTTCATATATTTACTATTTGGTTTACGGTGTTATGCGGTGTATATAATATCTAGGGCCCTAGACCAACAGACCAACAGCATAGGCGTAATTTAAGGGAAAGGGTGCACAGCACCCCCAAATTCGTTCATGTTAATTTACATTTTAATAATCTATAATATAATAATACCTACATATAGATTCTATATGTAGGTATCCATAACCATAAGATAATAATGAAAAAAAAAAAATGAACTTCAGCACCCCCAGTTTGGTCAATTGCGCCCCTGAATCCAACACCCGGATGTTGGCACTCTTTAAAATTCAATTATTATTATTTTTTAAATATGCCATCATCAACTTTATCAACTTTTTATTACCTATCATAGTTTTTTTTTAATATGAAAATAAGCGCTGATTTACTCCCGGATTAGTCTATTTGGGAGTTTTGCAAAATAAGTACTAACTTACGAACATTTTCATAAACTATAGCAATAACGAACGTAAATTCACAAGAATCAGCTCTTTCACCTTGATTCGTGTTCTTTGATATTTTAATTTTATAGCTCTCCTGAAAGATAGACCAAGGATCATTGGTGAATAGTTTTGGACAAATAATGATATATGCTCTGCACACTATTTATTTATGAATTTTAATGAATTTAAAAAACCGCGATTCTCGAACCCTGTCCTTGAACACGAATATGCGCAGTGAGTACTAAAATAAGCCTTTATGTCTTTAATGCACATTTGTATTTTTTTTTGGCTACAACTTGAAATAATACGTAAATATTAAATACATTTATACGTATTTAAGTTGTCGTTGTCACAACGAGTCTACTGGAATCAGCGTAGCAAACTTTTGTATCTATCGAGTAATATTTATTAGTTATAGCATATTAATTTGATTTAGAAAAGTATCTATTTTGAAATACGAAACTGGACGACTTTGGAGGAAAATAAAATCCGTGAAAGTTACAAGTAGATACACAAAATATTTAAGGCCAATGTCGTGTAGGCCAGTCATGGTTCCCAACCTTTTATGATTATGACCCTAACATTTTAAAATCAATTACTATGATTGCAAAATATAATTCTCATAATTTATTAACACTAAATCATGGTATAAAATAATAAACAATTTAAATTACACATACCTACAATTATTTCAAATATTCATAACAATTTCTTTCCTCAATAGTTTTTGTTATTCAATTAATTTAGGATATTTCTTTAAAGATGACAAAAATCGTGCTGAAATAAAATGTAAGCTATTAATTCACGACTAACTATAAAAACCTGGAGTAGGTGATGAATGATGATGCGACTTCAGCTTTCGGCATCATCTTAATCTAAAATATTTTTTTTTATATATATATATAATATATTTTGTATTTTTTTAATTATATTTTTAAACTACCTACCACAATACAACTCAATTCTAATCCTAAGCACTAAGGGATGCGGGTTTTTAGTAAAATTTAAACGAATAGGATATACTCACGGAAAGTATGGTTTATGCCTTTACGGATAACAATGGATTATGGTGCCGCGGGCACGTCGAGGCACCCCCGGACATTAAATCGACATGGTAGTATAATGCAGTATTTGGTAATATGGTACCTGTCTACCTACGCGAGCTACGGTGGTGGTATATCTGTAATTTAAATCCTCAAATTGTAATATTTTATGTTGCTTAGTTCACTATATTTTGTTTCTTTCGATTTACAAAAATCTTAAATCGTTAAAAACTTTAAAAAACGTTTTACAATTTACAATTTACAAATAATATTATCAAATAGGTACACGATATAGTACTTTATCATGATCAAATCGTTGAGTTATGAAAAAGATAAAAATATTCACAATATGGAGATAATTGGATGGTAATCAGATAACGACGTAAACTCAACCGCGGTAGTCGAGTTTCAAATGATAACCAAAATCTCAAAAGTTTAAATTATGTGTATGTTGATGTTTTGTCACTATTAAAAGCTACAAAAGTGCGGGAATTTACTTATATTTAAGATCCACAAGTTGCAACTATAGTCTTATAGTAAGTACTTCGGTACTTTGAGTAGTTATTAAGCTCTGACACTGCCGTCGTGTTATCTTTGTTTAATTCACATGCAATCCTAATTTTTTCAGAATAAAAACACTTTTATCGAATGTTACATTCGCCTAATTGTAACCATTTGTCGTCTTTAAGGACGAATTAAAAAAAAAGGACTAATTAAAGAAACAAATGTTTCATCTTATCATAATGAATTTATATTTCACCCGGTTATAAGATTCGGTTTTTTTATAGTTATGGTCATTCAGAGAAGTGTTTATTTTTTAACCGGTAATGCACGATTGAGCATTAAATATTTTATTTATATTTACGTTGCTGAAATTTTGTTATTTATTATTTTCACGTATTATTACAAAAATTATTTTGAATTACTTTTATTCACCTCACCCTCATGTCCATGCAGTCGTTAGGGTATTGATCGAAACACAATCAGAAACTCTGACTAGGATCAAATCATTCTAACATAAGCACATAAATTAATAACATCCTCTATAGAAATTTAAAAAAATAGAATTTAATATTCAAGCTTTCAACCAATATTTAAGTCTTAAGAATACGGATCTCTATTTATATATTTGAGCCAGCTTGGAAATTGCACATCAATTTAATTTAATTCATTGTTATACATTTCAACTTCATGGTAGACAGTAACCAGAAAATATGAATATTTTATTATTATTATTATCAAACAGATCTATATAATATCACATAATATTAACTTGTGACTATATTATTGACTATGCAATATTTTTTTGAATTATTATAATTATTTAAATAAATATTTTTGTATAATACATTAATACAGTTCAAAATTGAAAATGGCAACCTTGCAGTTTTTTATGCTCAATCATGGGTGGATTTTGTTTTGTATTTCGGTTTCTTTTGATAAGCCGAAAATTTTGCTCAATCGTGTCTCAGCCTTTTGAACGGTGATACTGTATTCAGATTCTGTTTTCGATTTTTTTTAGAAAAGTAATGGCTATTTTTGCCAAATGTAATCATCGATAGCGACGATTGCTTGTGTTTAAAGCTATAGGTAGATATTATACATTATTCTTCAAAATACGGTTAGCTAGTTAATGTGTATACAATTTTCGTTATTATTTGTAAATGAAAATAATGCAAGGAATTCACATATTTCGTATACATACTATTCGCTGTTTCAAGTATAAAATATTTGTACATTTTCTTATTGTAATATTATTCAATTACCTGAAATACTAAATAATAATAACAAGCTGTTCGGTAACAAAAGAACAAATTTATTGTGCTGGAGGACGAGGTAAACATGTACACAACCGACACAGGGGATGAGGGTATCAAGTACCACCTTTTAAAAAATCTGTGCAAGCCACTAAACTGATGTTATCGCAGAAACAATTTCGAGCTGGTTCCGGGCAAAGCGTCGTAGATACCGAAATAATAAGAGGCACTCTATGTGTTCCAAGTAACACTAGATATGAAATATATAAAAAGTAAATAATTAAACTGTGTTAACACTATCTGTAAATTGGAAAGTATAATCGTTTGTGATAGCCTTGTTCAGAGGGTTTGACGAGCTTAATATCTACAAACAGATGGCTTTGTAGGCGTTTACTGCATCAATATATTTTTTTAAATAATTTTTGATTGTTATTGAACACAACATTGGCTGTTTTGTTTGCGATTGATTACATTTTTTTACAATCAACACTATAAATTGTTATGTAATATTGAACAACTTTAGAGCTCAAGTAAAATAAAAGTTGTCAATTTTGTTTATAATAATTTGCATAAAATCCGAAGGGTGGATTGACCTACATTTATTATGGTTAGAATCAGATATAGATACATTTAAAATTATTATAGACGTGGGTAAAGAAAATGTTAAAAAAATAATACAAAAACATTAATATCAAAAATATTTTATATAATATAAATGATTTATTTATTTTTTTATAATTTATTAAATACAATAATAATATTATATGTTATATATATATCCTTTCATAATTAAATTTATTAGGTATGTTTCTAAACTTATATTAAAATATATTAATAACCAATAAACAATAGACATACCAGTAATTCAGATACTAAAATAACATAATTCCATTTAGGGATGTTGTAACATAGTTCTAAAATAAACGTTTGAGTACAATGAGATTTTTTAAATAAAAATAAAATATAAATGACAATAAAGATTATTAAAAAATATTAATAATTGCTAATAAAAAAAGATATCTATTTTAGGGTATTGTCGGGACAAACAAACGATCTGAAAATTGTGTAGAATTCATTGGCGAAATACAAATAACATTTAGAGGCATAATCGGTGGAGATGATGACTAACCCTAATTTAAGTATTTCTGATTTTACCCGGCACATAACTTTTATCAATAACTGGTTCTTGTAGGAATATGTGTAGACATCTTTCATTTTGTGCCAATGGATGACCAGCAATTCTAAAGTCAAGAATACAAAAAATATGCAATTAATGATGGATAACATTATACCTATTAATAAATAATAATAATTTAAAACATTATATTTCATTATAATTTTGAAATACAATAAATTATGTTTTTTTTTAATTTATCAATTGTACATTTCAATTGAAGCTATGGTTTTATTACTCCTATTTAATAATAATAAATAAATATGTAAAAATATACTTGTTTATAAAAACTTCAAGGCCTTTTCGCCGTTCTTCGATAAATTCTTCTTCAAATATACCATCATCATTTCGGAACGGCATTTGTCTTTTCCATGCCTTACCAGGTAAAGGAGGTACAACAATCTGAAAAACACATTTTGATTAATATGAAAACGCAATCAATAAAGTATAAATAGGATTCACTAACATAAATGGGCTAGTCTGAATCATTTAAAAGAGAATTATAAACTAGTTGTGTACCATTAAAAAAAACAACATTCTTTTGAACTAATTAAGTTTTATACTATATTATTTATTTTAAACCAAGTATACTTAATTTTAAACATAATGTAATAAAATAATAGTGGAAAATTATAATCTTCGGTTTTTAAATAATTGTATTGTTTTAAAATATATTTCTCGTAAGATAAAAAAAAATAAAGATTTATCATATTCCCGCTCAAGATTTAAAATATAATATTACAATCTCATTGGATTGTCAGTGTTACCACAACGCTGGTATAAATAACATGAACACATTGTTTTTTTTTGTTATTATGATTACGCTCAAACCCATTGACGATAACAAAAAAGTCAGTATTCGATATTCGGCACTGTCTTTTCACTCAGTGATTGTTCTATTCTGTGCTCAGTGTACGACTTGTCTGAATTCGCTACTCAGTATTTAACTTATAAGTATTAAGTTTAAGTCGTTATCTATTCAAATTGTAATTTGTATGTTTAGTTTAGTTAAATTTACTGTTGTAATTTTAGTTAATATTCACGAGTTTTAAAGTATAAAAGTATTTACGTAGTATATAAATATTTTAAAGTAAAAAACAAGTGTCATGTAGCCAACAAGTGACTCATTTCCATTTTTTTATAACGGAAATAAAAAAAATGTCAACTCTAGATTTTACTGCTGTACCAAACACATCGGCAAATGAGATTCAAGAAAACGTTACTACACATAATGTTCTTGTTCTAACAATAATAACTCATTACATAAGAGACTATGCAAAGAGATTTCCAAAATCTACTGACAAGCCATTAGATGGTGTACAAACCTCAAAGTTTCATCGTACATTTAGTATGCTTGCATTACACTTAATTCAATGTCCTGATCTTACATTTGGTGAATTAATCAATTTAATATCATGCGGAAAATACCAACTACCTCAAACCTTCATTCAAACATTTCACTTGGAAGTATATCATACGATTAATACTAATTTAAATATTATAGCAGATATGTTCAAAAATTTAGATGGTACATTTTTGGACACTGGATTGCCAAAAGTACATCAATTGAAAATTGTTAATGGCAGTAGTCCTGTTGGCATATTTATAAGACGTATAATGTTATTTTTCAATAAAATGCAGTTTTTACAAACTGAAGCTGTTATAAAGGAAGTAAAAACTCATTGCAGTACAATATTGAACAAAATTCCGGTAAGGATTATGGCAAACTAGATTTTGTTTAATGACATTTATATGATAAAATAATTTTTCAGGGACTCAAAACCAAAAAAGTAGGAGCAAATGACAAAGAAGAACTCAGTCCAGAAGCTGTAGAAATGATAAAAATAACTAAGACAATCAATGATATTATTGAAATGATTAACATAAATTATCAGGCAAGTTATAATCAAAATAGTAAGTACAACAAGGCTCGTTCTTGGTCCCCTCGACAAGTAGAATTGTTTATTGCACAACAAGTTAAACTATTGAAAATTAATGAATCTGTTGCCCTTGATCCTCCAACTCTACATCAAAAACTTAAAGACATTCTGCGAGCCAATCCCGACCATTTTGACGTACATTACTTAAACTATCTAAATTGCTTGAGGGTGAAAGAATATTGTGGTGCAGTTAGTAGTGTACAACACTATTTCAGTCGTCAAACTTTTAGGGTTATAAATGTAGATGAAAAAAGTAGAGGTTATCAATATACATCTCTAAATATGGCCATATTGAATGCATTTTTTAATCACAACGAAGAAGCTATAAGTTATTTAAAAGAAAGTATAGCAGTAGCTCATCAAGTAAATGATCATGTTTGCTTACAGCATGCACTCATGTGGATGTACACATTGAGTAAAAAGAACAAGTCAACTATGTTGAGATGTTCTGTAACTAGAAGCAAAGAATTACAACTGCATCAGATCACTTCATTTAGCTTACAATCTATGGCTCAATATTTAGTCGAAAACTCTGAAAATCCAGCAATAGTCTTTGAAATCTTAAAGAAAAGCGAAATATATAATTATTTCAATGGTTTGACTGATCTGCGTATGACAAATAATGTTCAAAAAGCAGCGATTTGGAATACATATGGTTATCAACGTATATCAACTATACATTCTTTATTAGTCTTAGAACACGATCAATGTAACAAAGATGTTTACAATATAGAGAGTAAATGTATAGCTATGTGCAATATCATTAATGATTTGATTGCTCATGGTGATTATTATCTTGCCCCCATATTAATTAATGAAGTTTCCCACATTTTTCCATACACACATAGTAAATTCTGGATAATGGCTGAACAGTATTTAAATTTCACATTAGCTATGAATAAGGAAGAATGGCCTAAAGCAGAATTAGCAGCTAAACAAATGGCTTCTGTTAATGTAACAGAAAGTGCATTACGATTAGGAGAGATGTATTTGAAAAAAGAAGACTTTGTTGCTGCTACTAATATTGTAAAAGAGTTAATGGAGAATAATGAGGAAAACACCGTACTAACTAGATTGCGGGCATACTTAATTGTTGCCAAAGCAAATGAAAGTGCAGCACTAAATTTACTTATGGATGCAAAATTGATAGCTATTGAATATCATTTGATGTATATGACTGCAATTATAAATGTTGAGATAGCAATCGTTTTGATGAAATATGATTTTCCGCATAAAGCATTAAGATTATTACAAGAAACAAAACAACACATTTATTGTGGCATAAACGTTTATGATAAGGCATACACAGATTTACAAATTATTAAAGCAAAGATGATGGTTAACATAGTTGACGAGTTTGATCACAGTCGAGAGTTTTTGAACAAAATGTATGATAAATTAAATAAGATTGCAGAGAAATTTCGATCAATAGAAGCAATAACAGAGTTAAAAGAAGTAATATATTTACAAGCACTAATAGCAGACGAATTGGATATGAAACAAAACCGAAACAAGCATGCAATGGAATTCAGACACTTAGAAGAATACAAAGTTCAACAGTAATGAACGTTACAATACAAAATAATTAAACATATTCATATACTGTATTTGTGCTTAATTACGATATTGTATTGAATTGGTAATAATATAATAAATTGTAAGTTGTAACGAAGAAATGTGCTTTTTGTTCTTTCACACTAAAACTAAATAAAATAATTGTATTTGTCTATAATTATTTTTGTACACAAGTATTCACATATATCTCGACTTTTTAATACTATGTAGATAACTAAACAAAAGTAAAATAGATTGTTCAGTTCTTAAAGGAAGCAGAAAAAATTTATTATTATATGAGAAATTTGCACGTTTCTTAAGTGTTAATAATAAATGGTTCTATCTAGGGACTGGATTAAAATGCTCTGAATTTAAAAAAAAATTTTTTTCAAGTGCTTGCCCAGTTCTTGTGTGAGCCACTTAATACATTTAAAAACTAGAAATATACATTTTTTCCTTTTAGAAGGAAATCAAAATACATTTTATAAAACACTATGAAGTACCTACGTAAAAGAAAAATACAAAATAAGTTTCATTTTTACTTTCTTGATTTTGAAGAAGTAAGTATGGCAATTGAAATGAAAAGTCTAAATTTTGAAAACTTCAAGAATTTGTGTTCAATAGGAAAATAATAAAAATGTAACCGTAAATAATGAGCAGGTAGGGTAAGCAATTAAGCTAATTTTAATATAAAATATTAATATGAGAGATCCGATATTACACCCAAGGGGCATAACAATTTGAATCCACATAAACCGTCCAAAATGCCTAATTTTCTCCTATACTACGATTGCTAGAAAGTTGGTTGATAGCTCATTAAAAAGAGTTATTTTTGCTAGATTTTCATTTAGCGGAGTAGATCTCCAAATTTGGAGAACTGATTTTGTTGTTTGGGATCTAGATAAATTCAAATTGGTTAGGAGAAGTGCTGTAAAGACTTTCAGAAATTTATGTTCAATTATTAATTCACTACAAAGCTTTAAAGCTGAAGAACACCAAAAAATGGCCAATTTTAATAATAAGTTTTAATAAATAAAACAATCAAAACAACTTTAATGCCTCTACGATTTAAACCAATTATAATCAACCTACTACATTCTAATATCTTCTCAATAAATTAATTTGCAATTAATAATTTCTTCAAAGTACAAATTTTGTTTAATCATAATGTAATTAAATACAAACAGTTAATACATTTCTAAAAATCAAGAAAGTTTTCATGCCAATGACTTTGCAAGCGTTCTTTTTGTTCTACTTGAGTTACTTCCCTGCTATTTGAAAAGAATTTTGGGCTTGGAATGTATTTTTTGAAGACATTCAGAAAAAATATAAATCATTTAAATCTGCTCCTTGTTTATATCATTATTAATAAAAAACGAGTACGTGGGTAATGCTCTGCTGTACATAGGTGTCTAGGGTCACTGTAATAAGTGTGTTAATTTGAATTCATGAATATAAAATCATAGTATATAAATAACGATTCTGAACGAGGACCGTTGGTTGGCCTATAATAATGCTAAGTAGGTCTATTTTAGTTTATCATATTATTGTGATTTAAGTTTATTTTACTACATTATAGATATTATAGTATTATAGAAGGTAAAACTTTGTGCGAAAAAATTGCATTTGAAAATATCATTGTGTGTATAAAATATAATAACATACCTACTCTAAAAGTTCCAAGTACCCATGAATTATATTTTTTAACTACAACAAAATAACAAAAATCCTTATTCTATGTTTAAATATATGTTTTCCAAATTTGAAATTAAAATCACAAAAAAACGGTTAATACATTTGTTGGTTACAGAATTAACTACTTACGTGCAACCTTGTTTTAAATTTTCAATTCTTTGCTATAAAAGTTTAACATTTTATCAATTTTTAACTACAAAATAATTTGTACATTTTGAATTTGATAAATGTTGTCAAAATTTGAATTTTAAATGCTTATAAAAAAAAATAGTGTCCATCTATTTTTAACATTTTGTAGAAAAAATGATTTAAAAATACAGAAAATTGAAAATTTCCATATTTGAACACAGTGTATGGGAAATTAGTTATAAATATAAATTAGAGAAATTGCATGCATCAATCGAATTTTTTTTTGATTTACACCGAAAACCAATTTCAATTTGGAGTAAAAGTTCCCATTTTTTCTGGCGCTTTTTAAAACATCAGGGAATTTTAAATGTAGACCTCCTAAATGCACTAACTAGATTTACTTTCCTACCAGAAAGACATTGAAGTTGAAAATGGACGAGGTACATGCAAAAGAAAATCTATATATTCATCAACTTAGAATCTAAAATATGCAGTACCTACCTATTATAGGATATATTGAGTGTGTGGCTAATTGAAAAATTATTGTTGATTTAATGTATTTTTTTAAATTATTATTTATTTATTTACTACACATTATTGTTAAGCCATGATGGTAAAAATGCTGGAGCTTAAACAAAATATTCATGATTATATTTTTCCACTAAATAGGTTTGAGTATAAATATTTTCTTATAAAAAGTATAAAAAAACAGACAGGAAAATATGAATTTTAAATTATATTTTTCCTTTCATTGTATACTTATGTACCAACGTAAATAAAGCTATACTCGTCAAATAATTTTCAAATTATAAGTTATTTTAAAGCAGTTACCCAATATTAATAATTTGATATTATTTTTAGAATCTAAGAAAATTGATGATTTAAAGCGAGATTTAAAGTATTTAAACAGTCTTCAACTTACACACTAACCACTAACTACACCTGTAAATTGCTTATGTATCCCTTTAGATATCCAATTACATTTGAAAGCATAATTAAGATTATAATATTTTTATGATTTAAATTTTACTCATAAAATTAAAATTTAGTGTTTGCATCTATTACAAATGATTATTGTACAGGTATTTATAATGAAAAATAGACAAATTTAAAACATAATAACTTACTACACTATAAATACTAATACTAAAACTGAATTCTACAGTTATTTGACAGTTGAAATTTGCAAGAATAACAAAACAAATACTAGGGAACTAAAAAATTATTAAGAGCATTATTAAAATTTATTGTAATAGGCTATAGAGTAAACTAGAAATTAAGGTTTAAAGACTAACTAGTTATGAGTGACATAATGAATAAATTATTTCTTTTCAGTAAACTGTATTTATTCTTTAAAAATAAAAAAACTTTAAAACTTTTAGAGATAAATCATTTTTTTTAAATTCCAAAATTTGTTTCACATACCAATTAACAGTTTATTATAATATTGACTTCAATTTGTTTTAATTCATCAAGCACTTTCATTTATAAGAAAAGCATGTCATTACGACAAATATTATAACAATTATTAATAACTTAGGTATTAGTTATAAGTTATAACTCATAAGTCATAACATGGCCACAAAGGTTTATCCATAATATATGATGTTAAATTGACATTAGAATAAGTAATTATTATAAGTAGAAAGTACACATTACCTTACTGTCTCGTTCTAGTTCATTGCGCAACCATTCAAAATCACTGTAACGTCTACGGACACTGGATTCTTTGACCTTAAACACTGGTAGGTTTGTCTAAAAACAATCAAACGATAGTCACATTTGTGACATCAGAAAATAAGTTCTACCTAACACAATGATTATAAGTACTTATTACAAGACAACTTACTCGCATTCGAACTTCATAATCAGTATAACGTTTTTTGGCCACACCGTGCGTTATCGGGTTCAATATATCAATTTCCAAAAAATTGGCAGGAGCCGCATACGCATCGTCCAATGTTTGCTTCTTGACATTCAACCGTCTGGTAGCCTCGGCTGTGTCAACCATAATTTTTATCTATGTTATAGGTATCTTATGGCAGTCCCTTACTCGGCACTCGGCAGTACAGCCGAGCGTTTCGCCGCGATTTTACTCGCGAGATGAGCGAAAATTTTTTTTTTGTTCAAGCGTTAGAGGAGTATCTAGGCGTCCTTGGTACCGGTACACCAGAGCAAGAGCAGAAATCGATGACGTAACGACAAGTCGACAAAAACCGGCAGACTTGAACGAATAAAAAAAAAACCAGAAATGGAAAAAAACGATCGCACAATAATTGGTATTTCCTGTTGATCAGAAGAATTCTTGTCGATGATCTACGACGTGATAACGCAACAATTGAATTACAATATTAATATATTATAAATACAACAACCACACACGATATAATTCGTAGCAATAATAATAATAAACCAAATTTCGTTTAGTCGGGAATCGAAACAATTGAGCCGTCGTATGTCGATGATAATGGGTAGGATCGAATAATACGACTAGAAACTAAATAATATCCGAGAATTTATTCTCAAACACGACCACTGACCACTCTCGCGGAAGTCGGGAAATGATCGACGGACGAGATAACGACGGAATTACACGCATGGCCAGGCTAGCCAACCGTCTAGACACGTCGGGTCGAGCTGATAATGGATTGACGGGCGTTGATAACATTGAGAGCGCGCGCGCGACACGGCAGCTGCTGCCGATAAATTATTTACCGAACCAAACAAGATGTAACAACTAACAAAAATTCATTACGATTTTCTACTTTTTGATTTTTATTAATTATTATTATTTATTATTCGGATTAACATATTAGCTTTCGTTTGCTAATCGTTTCTCAAGGTTTTCAGACGACGTTCATGGTTCATCATTGAAATCTACCGACCGACCATGGACCGATGGCACTTACTTAACTTTCCGTTGCTTTATTGATATCTCCTTTACTAAAATATTCTAAATTAGGCAACCCTTGCTAGGACGTTGTTTGGCTGGACGATTACCATGGACTTTTTCGCGCTAATAACTATCGTCGTTACTTTCTATGTCGCTCTTCTGTTTTTGGACTTCACGTTCAAGGTGGGTGAAGGATAGTTATAACTCATAATTTTGATGTTCTATTGATAATCTGATTGCCAATTTCTCTAGTAGATCTCGAGGCAAGAGATTGGTTAATTGGTTTGATGACCCTTAGCGACAGAACGTCTGAAACAGACATTTTTATCACTTTATATGTTTTTGCATTTTTTATTTTAGTCCTGTTCACACTATCCATATTTGATGTTAATGCAAAAGACAGGATTAAGTGTTGGCCCTTTTCAATTACGATGGTACACAACGTCGTTGAATCGTCTAATATTGAAAATGTCGTTTTGGCATCCAAAATTCCAAACCAATTGGTTCACTTTTGGGTCTTGGATTACTATTTGTCTGATTATACCATCTATATGTCTGGTTATTGTATCTTCTGCCCAATTGTGTAAAAAAATATTCACTGAACCTACTAGTGAACCATCTAGTAACCAGCAAGATACATTTCTTGAACCAATAGTAAGTGAAATTTCCATTAAAATTCATTATTTTACATAAAATTTTTCTGAACTATGCGTGGATTTTTAGGTACCTGGGATCAATTTACCAATTTCAGACTTAGGCTATTATGTATTTGCTCTAATTTTTTCCACGGTTTTTCACGAACTAGGACATGCATTAGCAGCAATCAGGTATTTATTTTTTTATCATATTAGTTATTACGTATTATTCATATTGTGCGAGTATAATGTCCTTTAAACACATATTAAATGTGAGTTTTTATTGTAAACAGGGAAGACATGCATGTGGAAGGTGTTGGTTTAATGTTCATTTTGATTTTACCTGTGGCTTATGTCCATTTGGATGACATTACTTCCTTGCCAAGTAGCAAACAGCTTCGAGTGATGTCGGCAGGCGTGTGGCATAACATAGTTCAAGCTCTAATGGCTTATCTTGTTTTATGGCTCTTGCCATATATGTTGTTTCCATTTTTCACAGTTGGGCATGGTGTCATGACCACCCAAATAAATCAGGTAATTAACAATAAAACAAATATTTTACTTTTGGTTTTTTTAAATAATAATAATACTATGTACTGTATACATTCTCATTAAGAGGATGCTACCCATGCATTTGTAGTCTCTGTCTTTTACATGTATAACATATAACATTTTTATTCACTAGTTTCAATAGTGTGCTGTTAATTTTGATATTAGGATGAAGTGACCTATTATCAAATTTTTAGGTTAGAACATCATCTATCGTTGGTGGATTTTTGAATATTTTAATTTTCAAGCAAGATGTGAGCATTTTTGATGTGTGTTATTACACATACTCGTATCTTGCTTGAAAATGAAAATATTGAAAATCCGCCGACGCTTAAGCATAGTTAATATTCTTACCTAAAAATTTGATAATAGGTCACTTCATCCTAATATTAAAACTAACAGCACACTATTGAAACTAGTGAACAAAAATGTTCTATGTCATAAGTTTGTGAGACGGAGACAACAAACGCGTGGCATCCTCTTAAGGAAATTCCACACATGTTTTGAATTATATTATCTTTTATATATGTCACAACACATACATAGTAACAACTAAAGATATTTTATTATTCATTTTAAGATTACCTATTTGATTTTGTGTGATAGTGTGTTACCATGTAACATAATATTATATGAAAAACATCTATTTTGTAGTGCCCTACGACCTAATAGTTTAATTTTAAAAGTTTTTTATAAAACAATTAAAAATTATTATTATTTATATAATAATGTAATAATATAGTAATAAATTAATTGTATTTGGTTGTTTTAAGAGATCGGGTGTTAATGGCCAAGGAGGACTAGTAACTGGTGATATTATTACAAAATTGGGAAACTGTGATGTGCACGATTTTAATTCATGGATAGATTGTTTAAACCGTACTAAGACAAGTGTAGATTCTGGATTTTGTTTATCACCAGAATTTGTTCAACATCATGACGAAACAAAACCAGGTAAATATAAAATTATGTTTTTCAAAATATTTTATATTAATCAATATTTACTAATTCAAAGATTAATAATTATTTTAGTGCATTATGTAGATGAATATATAATAAACTGTTGTGATCCAAACTCAAAGACCAATTTGTGTTTCGAGTACATTGAATCGCTGTCCAATCCTCAAGAACTACCAAATCATTCCTGCTTAAATGTTAGAAAAGTTATAGAAAGGTCAACATCACCCTGTGATGCTGATAATCAGTGTTCATCAGCCCATTGTTATTACCCCGCAATTCGTAAGAATCATAAACTTGTGGTTATTAAACGTCAAAAGAAAAACGAAGTCTTATTTCTTGGACAGCCTACAGAATTGCAATACATATCTGTTACGCAATATGTACCTAAGACTGATTATCTATCAAATAGTATACCTGAATCTATTGAAAAATTTTGTATGTACCTAATAATGTTTGCAGGAGGCTTAGCCGTCATAAACGTAATACCATGTTTTTATTTTGATGGAGAAAAAATATCAAGGGTATTAGTGAATACAATGCTGAAGGAACACGTTGAACATTTGAGTGTTCGATTAGCAATTTCTATTTGTTTAACAATTTTTGGTTCTTTAATATTGATTATTTATATGATATTAGGGTTTTGGTCTCTGATAAAAATTATAAACTAAAAATGTATCATTTACCTAAAAATATAAATGGTTCCTACTTTCTACTAACGGTTAGAGGGCAACATTATGATTCATACCAAATTCCAAAAATGTATTTATTTTTATTACTTTCCAAAATACGTTTGTACTGAAGTTGATAAGACATGAGTAATTTTTATATTTATATTATGTAACTATAAACTAATTCTTATAGTTGAGTTCTTTTATATAATAATGTAATCTTAAGAAAGTGCCTAATCTATATTTCATAAAGAATCAATATTATATGATACATAATATTAATGAAAAATATTTTTAATTTAAATTTCATAATTTATTATTATTTAATTATTTTATTTGTTTAATGACTGAAAACATGTATTTATTATTATAGAATATTATAATCTTTTGAATTAGATACATTTTTAATAATAAGAAAAAAAATATAAGTTGTTGATCTTAATTTTTGTAATTGTTATGTTTAGATACCAAATGCCCAAATATATTTGTGTAATAGTCACCCTAGTCTTATTTTATTTATTATGTAAATATTAAATATCAAACATTACCAATATATATATATATATTATTAGATACTATTATGGAATAATATATTTGTGGAATTTTATTCCTATAAAATATATAATTAGTAATTTTGTCCATATATAGCAAACAAGTTTAATTTATATCAGACTTTACCAAATAACTTAAATTGTATTAATTATATTAATCACTTGAATTTATTATAGCTATTTTATTTTCTGTTATGGCTGTTCTTGTAATTATTCTTCAATAAAATTGTATGTTTCATTTTTACACTGTCTTTTTTTATTCTGAAAGTGTATACCTAAGTCACTTTACTCTTGAACAACTGACCACTTTAACGAGTACATGATTTAGTTGTAGATACTTAAAAGTTAAAGTCGTTTTGATTTCACAACGGGAGCCTGTACGGGAGAACAATCCTCATTAAGTTTTTCGATTTTGAGCAAAGAAAAGAAGCTATTGGTTTTAAAATAATTTGTACTTTTTTAAAAATATTGTTTGATAATTTTATGAACCCCTTCCCAAAAGATAAAATTGAGTAAATTCTACTCGAGTCCTGCTTATAATTTATCATCATATATAAGTTGTTTTTTTTCACATATTCAGGTACCTACCTAATTCATAGATCATATATTTTATATTATGAACAAAATAAATGTAATACAAATATATTATAAACTATGCAAATTAATAAAATTTATCTGCATGACCGTTTATAAATAATTTTAATAGAAACAATTACTGTTCAGAACCTTAATATGTAAATTGTTGATAAAGTAAGGTACCTATTTTTATTTTATCAAGCTTTACATATTTCGAAATAATTTATGTGTTAAGTATATTGAATCATAACAAATTTAGGAAGAGGAACTATTATTTGGTATATTAATAATTTTTTTACTCTCGAAGTCTCGAATTCTCGATAGCTGATAGATATGAATACATTAGCTGTAGCTAGTGGCACAATTAGGACTAAAATGTTGGGTTGCAGGAGGTACTGAAACCCACATCTGATATTACATGAAAAGTAACCCTGGGGGAGTATGTATAATCATACCAATGTACCGACATAAATTGTTTCCTTAAAAACAAATATCACAGGCAACATAAAATAAAAATTAAATCATTAAATTTTTTCCAAAAAAAAAATATTGAATAATTTATTTTCGGGACTATTTCTCAACTGACCAGTACATGAAGAAAAAGTAAGTAGGTACCTACTACTTACCTAGTACCTACTATACAGTGTCGTGCTATAATTTACATTTTTATGGCCGTCTAATGTATAATACAAAAAAAAACATTCGACATAAGTTGTAACTTGTAGTCCTCCTTCCTTTTAACAAAAACTAAGTGTACCGAAAAGTAAATTTTTTATGGGCATTTAAAATTTTATTTTTTTCGACATTGGATTATCCACCGCAGAAATTAACGAATTTTCATCGAATGATTGTCTTATTTTTGGCTAACGAATTATCGTATACTTTTACTTGAAATTGTTTCCAAGTGATAATTTAACCATTTCCTATACGACTAATGACTATACAAGTCTATACTTGATAACATTTTCCAAAGATTTTGACTCATTTTAAGATATTTATGGATATTTTTAATTATTAATTTTTTTAGTTTTTTACTCTAAATGACAATACAATTTTTATTTTTGGGCAAAAAAGCTTGAAAATTGAATACATGGTTCCTCATGAGTTGTTATAATAACAGTTTAAAAATATTAAAAATACATGGGCACACATTTTTTATTAATAATGAAAGTTCAAATGTCGACAACATTTATCGAGGTTTTTTATGTCGATAGGTTTTAGAGTCAGAGCTGAGTGATGAATGTATTGATTTTACCATTATGTGTGTTTTTTTATTTTTATTTTTTTGTTGTGCCTGTCATCACGGTTTGGGGGCAGTCAGAGTGCTTCGATTTCATCAACAGCAATTTGGATCAGGATTCTTTATCGGGTTGGTCAATGATCGACGGCGTGACCTCGGCGTCTTCTATTCTCGGCTCAACGGATCTATTCCAGCGTTCTTCGTGTGGTTTTATATCATTGTATTCAAATTTAACACATTAATAACAGTGAATCCGGAACGGTACCCACTTGTCCACCCACTTTTCAAAAATATTATTTAGGAAAAAAGGTTGTTTCAGGGGACAACGAAGTTGAGACACAGTGTATCCGACACTGTATAAATAATAATGTACTTATGTGCACAAATAAAAGTAAAAGCGAACAAAATAAAATATATTTTAAATAATATAATAATAATACATGTAGACGAGCCGTAATTTGTGGTATATATATATGTATAAATATATATATGCGGTCTGCAAGTCTACTACATGTGAGGTGTGTCCATATAATATTCTTGAGGACGAATTCTCATGTTTGCCAGGTTAGTGGAAACCATGTAACCGGCATGGTGATGGTGGTGATGGTGGTGGTTCGGTACCAGACAGTTTGAAACTGCCATCGACATCGAAGGATTACCGTGTGCATGACTACCTGTTGAATAATATAAAACGTGATCGTAGAAATAATTTTTCAAATCAAATAATATCTTTTATTTGAACCCTTACAGCATTTGATGATAAGTACAGTTTATATAGCAAAATAGTATAGGTAGTTATAGTATGACAGTGTTTTAGAGATTAATAAATTAAAAATATGCAATCACAAATGCATAAAATATAATATCTACCTACACTAAATTAATAAGGTAACTTTGAAAAATTAGAAGTTGTATCATAAGAGGTGGGGAGCGAAAAACGTAAAAAAGTGAGTAGGCCGTGGGGTAAGCTGCCGGAACTCGGAAGGAGAATATGAGATCGATGCTAGGACTGAGGAGGGTCAGGAGTGTCAACTGCTCTAAATAGGTAGTTCTAACTCTCTGAGTAGGGAAGAAATAAAATAAGTATCCTCACCGCGGTAAAATACGATTGAGAACGTTACGGTTGAGAACGTCATTTTTGGTAACACGATTGAGAACGCTCGATATTTGTTTTTCCGACGTTGCCAAATGTTATCGAAAGATAATTTGAGTACGATAATCGGCCAGTGGCGTAGCCAGGGGGGAGGCTGAGGGGGCTGCAGCCCCCTCCGAAATGTTAATAAAATTAAAAAATTATTTTAACGGTCTATGGTATTCGATCAAAAACTAAACCACCGCTGTGTAAACAATTGATCAGCCCCCCTCGAAAAAAAATCCTGGCTATGCCACTGTAATCGGCTATCGAACGATAAAGAACGTTATACCTTTTTGGCTGAACGATTGATCCGGTTGATATTTAATGTTTATCGGATCTTATTTATAACTTAGATACCAGATATACGAGAGAATGACTTCGTCGCACTAGTCTTCGCATAAACGTCAACGAAGTATTCGTCAGTTTATAAAATATTATATTAAAATATACTAAATATTATAATATATTACAATTTTAAATTATTATTCGTCAAATAATGGAAAATAATGAAATTAAAATTATACGAAGTGAACGAGGTGAAGATCTAGTACTATTAGATAGTAATAAATATCGTTTTATTCGGAAACGTAAAGACACACGGTTGAAATGGAAGTGTTCAAATAATAAATGTACTGCAAATATTCTAACAGACTCAGAAAAAAATTGTTGATTCAAAGACTCGGTAAGCATTATCATTGCTATATCCCTACCTCTATTATAGAACGTCAAGTTTTACGTGAAAACGTACAGTAATATGTAGAAGTTTATTGTTGATTTATGTTTTAAAATGACAAACCGAGTGTTAAACATTTTTAATTTGCACTTGGATTTTGAACTTGGAGTCCATAAAACATCGGTAGAAATGTGCCCTCAAGTTAATATTATTGGTTGCAGATTCCATCTAGGACAAGCATGGTGGCGAAAGGTAAATTAAAAATAAATTGTGTTTATAATTATTTTGTTATTTTAATTTTTAAAACAGTAAACTTTTAAAATTATAGCAATAAAAAATTGGGAAGTATATATTTTAATTGAAACATTTATTTTAATTTTAGATAAATTATAAATAGTGAAAGTAGACTTCGAAATGCATATGAAAATTCTGATGACGCCCTAGGAAATTGGCTAAAGATGTTTTTTGGTCTTCAATTTATAAACCATGACAAAGTTGAAGATGCATTCTTTGAGTTAATCGCTGTTTGTCCAAATGAAGAAATTGGTCACATTTTTTCAGATTATGTTTTCAACAATTACATAGAGCCTCGTTCAATACGAAATTGTGGGCCACGAAACCTTCGGAAAATCCCAGGTAAGTTTCAAACAAATTAATACATGCAAATTAATAATTACTACAATCAATAACTTTCTAGGACCACCATTCCGCTGAAAGCTTTCATAGAACACTTAACAGCCAATTTTACAGTTCTCATCCAGCAGTATATATTGTTATTCAAACACTAGGTAATTGAAACACAATCAGAAACTTCATTAAAAATAGCAACGATAGAGCAGGGTAAAAAAAAGAAATGCCAATAAAACAAAAGGAAAAATTAATATTAATATTTATAAATCATAATAAATATATGTGGTATGTAGCAAATAAAAGTTCAAGTAATTTATTAAAATATTTAGATTATGTTGGATTACGCTATCCCTCTATAACTAATATATAGGTAACTCTTTTGTCATTACATTTTTTATACATATGTATTACATTTTTTACTTTTTTTTCATATTTATTACATATTTTTATAATACTACATTTTTAAAAAATTTTTAAACATATTTATATTACATATGACTTTTTTCTAGAATATTTGTTAAATGATAAATAATAAATGATATGGCAACGTTGCACGTAAATTCGTTCTCAATCGTATTCTTTTTTGGGTTTTTTTATGGTCAGTGGTAAGTTCTTTGTTATTTTTAAGTGTTCTCAATCGTTCGGCCAAAAAGGTATAACGTTCTCAATCGTTCGATAGCCATTATTACTTGCCAAATACGGATGGTAAACGGCCATACCTATTCCCAAACGAATGGTCGTTTATCATTGTTGACAGTGAACAAAATAAATGACAATTCGACTTATAAACTATGCACCTATAATAGCTATTAGGTATCTACTATAATATAGTTATAGGTTAAACCTTACATCATATAGGTAGTATATAGTTTATGATCTAAGGGTTAAACCATCAGACTTTGGTCGGGAAAAAAGAATAAATACAAAATACATCGCTTTATATCGGCAAATCGGTGTCGGCGTACCTATGGCATTATGAACTAATTCTACTATAGTATATTACTGCCTATTATATTTTTAATACGTTGGGTTTGGTTAGGTTTAGTTGGGTTTAGTGAGGTTTAATCTAACCTAACGCCCCACACAGGATTGGTCGGTATTATTATTTAGATTTAAATGAGTTCGATATTAGCAGCGCTTCTACTGCTGCCAAATCATTTTGAACTGGTACGTGGTCGTAGTTAGATAGCGCTGCCATGTTCGATTTACAATGCTGTGGATGCGGGTAAAGCTCCATCGGGTTACTTTTTAGGAAAACTTATTCAAACTCTAACTTTATTCTAGCCCACTCTCCCGCTCCCACCCAATGTCAATATGATAAATGGTCGGATCAAAATGTTTTAAGTTTAATCCAAAAATGAATATAATGTGTAAATATATACATATAATTCTAAACATTTTATTGATATTTTTTACAATAGGCTATAGACACAATTTTTTTCTTCCTAGGCCTACTCGGCTACGCTTGATCTTAATCTGGCACTGCCTATATCATGCACCCATTCATTACCCATAGAACAGTACCTATTCATCACTAGTTTGAAGTTAGTACCTTATAATCGGAGCTCGGGACTTGGAGTATTTGCGTATTTTTACGGATTGACTTAAAATGTAGCAGAGTGCTATGAAAGTGTAAGTCAAGTTACAACAAGTTCATTTGTGAAATGTGTAAGTGGTTTTTTTGCTTTTTCCAGCGATTTTTCAAAAAAATGCTTATTTCAAGTTATTTTGATAATTTTTGCTTTTTTGACCAGTTTTTCTACTTTTCTATGGTTTCTCCTGCAAAGTTGTTTTTGATAGAATTAAAATTAAAAATAATTCTTATCTTATTTATGTTGTAGTTTAGTCCGCCGCCGTCCTTAGCATCGCTGCAGGGTTAACAAAAATATTCCAACGCTTATTTTTTTGTAATATAAAGATAAAGATTTATTTATTTTTATTTTTTATTTTTATTGAATAAATATTTTTGCTTACATTTCAGTTTTGTAAATGCTTATTTGAACGCTTATAACGATGTTTTTAAGCGCTTATTTAAATGATTTTAAATGCTTTGAGTCCCGAGTTCTGTTTATAATAATTTATATGTTTAATAGGTATAGCATATATTATAGGTAACAGGCAAATCGCAAATTGAATAAATAATATTATGGTTATCTAAATCCAACAAATAATATATATATTATACTTGGACCAGTACTGTGCCAGTGTTTTTTTTTGGGGGGGGGGGGAGCTACAATATTTTAATGCTAGGGTTAAGGTAGTAGTGGGTATAGTAAGTTTGATATTCGAGGGGGGGGGGGCTTAGCCTTAGCCTAACCCAACCTAACTCTCTTTCTAGCTACGGCATTGATTTAGTCATTTAGACTAGAATTGAGTTATTCGATATAGATACCTGTGGTGGAGACTGCTGCAGGTAAAAAAGCCGGGTAACTTGACGAGTGTTGAAACATTCCACACTGTGATAAACCGTTCGATTTCCACGCCGAGTACTCCAGGAGACCGCCAAAACCAGAGCCTGTATAGAAACGTTTTGTCTAAGTTAGGATGAATGTACTCGTATTATAATTCAAATTTAAGACAATGTTTACATTTTGTTTTTATAAAATTGTATCTAATAATAATCGTCACCTTACTTAAATACCTAATTTGAGGATAGGAGTATAATATCTGCAGACCATTGTATTATACATAAGTGCATAACATAGGATAATATATTGTATATGTATCGGACATCGGTAAAGACACGAGACTCGATTTAAGAAATGGCCAAGATATAATACAATTGGTGAATAGGTAATGATTGTTTTAAAATAACCAAACAAATCAGTTGATAAAATAAATAAAATGAGTTCACTTTTTATATCAATAAAATTATAATATATATAATAATTTTAAAAAAATCAATGTTTTTGATTATTATACTATAATATGTTGGTATAATCATTACAACTATTTTTTATTATACAATTATTAATCAATAACAATGAAATGTTTAATCATTGTTAATCACACACCCCTAAATTCTAATATATGCCTAATATATAGTTTGTTTTTACCGCATTATGTATAATGTATGTATTTGGTAGGTATTATACTCACCAGATGTAAACGGAGGTTCCGCGTGAACAACGTTCGTATTTGACCTGGGTAAAAGGGGTTGTTCTACGTTCGGAGATCGGCAATCGGGCGCGGTTGATAGTGTGGGGTTGTTCCTCGACAGACTACTTCTCTCGTTCCGTCTGAATTTCGCCCTCCGGTTTTGAAACCAAACCTGATCGGACGCACAATGTCTAAATTTAGTGTTCATATTATATATACCCAACATGCCGGCTGCATGTCCTCTGTATATATTTTAGTGGCTGTGAATCTACGATAACGATTTGATTTCGGTTCATGCAAATTGTATGTTGATTGCCAATTCAACAGTCAACTTATTGTCAATAACCATGCCGTAACGCTTGATATATTTTACGAAAACAGTAGGCTCTTTTCTTCACAACTCACCCCAAGTCCCAATAAGTGTGAGTGCAGAAGTCACCATTTCACCTTGGCTGTATACTGCAGTGTAATTATGTAAGGTTACAGAAATTGTGCGATTTTAAGTGTTAAATTTTGATTAATTCCTTGCCAGTTCAGTCAGACCTTTCTAATTAATCGGAATCGTTTTTATATGCTCAAGCTTAAGACCAGTATATCGCTTCAACAGTTGTGATTGTTGAACGTGGATGATTTGCATGCAATATTTTTAAACATGCGTGTATTGTGTATACAAACACATGTATACTAATATCAATCGTAAATTCACGGATTTTTAGCTCTAGTCTCTAAGTCTTTCATTGTGTTGACAGTATTAGCATTTGGCACCGCTAAATCACTTAAAGATTTCAGCCGATTACTCATCCACAACATTTGCTGTATAGTGTATACCTAGCTATTATAAATTATAATATACTATTGATGGCGTGACAATGGCTTTTGTAAGAGCTTTGCAGCTCGACACCTGTCAATTTTTTTCTATATATTTCGTTCGTCCCACACTAGCTCATAATAAATAATAATATATGGAAATTAATAGAATTCATAGGCTTGTTATCGTTTATTTTTGGTCTAGGTGTTTAGCGGAGGGGTCGGAGAGTCACGTCCCATCATTTTTTTTTTTTTTTAATTTTTTAAAATTTGCAATTTTGTCTTATTGGTGTCAGTTTTTTTCAGTTTGAATTACTATTTTTAAAATATTTTAATTTTCTACTCCCTATAGTATATTATGTTTAGCGCCAACTATATAATTCCATGTACATTATATATTTAATAATATATAATCTTATGAGTATATAGTGTGCAAGAGTTAGAAAGTAGGTATTTATTATAATATGTATAAATAATAAAATATATAACATGCGCCACACCGAGGTTTATTTTTTCCACTCGTATATAATAATAGTAACACTGGTACACACACACACACACACACACACACACACACACACACTTGAACAGACTGCACAGCGCACACAGATATATAGGTACCTACGTTGTAGTATACGTCTCTCATTCGAACGTTAATTGATTCGGACTCGAGCCTCGCACACGTGTAAGCCCGCGACGAACAATCCGAGTTTATACTATGCATATGCTTTGTAATAATAATATGTAATATAATAGTATATAGCTGCCTCGGCGGCGTTCTTCTGTGTGTTTTATATTCAGTGTTTCGCCAGGCGCTCAACGTCTCTTGGACTCGAGCCCTCCGCCCGCGCGTCACGAAATCACTGGTCCGCGAATTCCGCCGGGCGGACTTGACAGCCTCCTCTCCGCAGACCGAACTTCCTTTGATTTACCGTGAGTAGGTATACATAGATCATATATTTCGTATACTCGCACACACGCACATACACACATACACACACATATATATGTATAAGATACTTGTTGAACGGGCGCCGACCGTCCAAATTAGGGACACATGTCAACACGTATGTGTGAGAGAGAGACTTGAGAGTTGAGATGTGAGTGTGTGTTCACGAAACCCACACGCCACGTCGGCCACGTGCTCCTCTGTGGCTGCCGAGTATATAATATATATGCGGCTGAATGGGGTGATCGCGTCTCTGTCAATTAACTAAACGCGCCGGATTAAAAGTGCGACGGATACGCCTGCAACAAGTGTGCCTCCAGTCCGAATGCGACCGCAAATAGAATATAGCAGATTTGTACCTACATCGCTTGACGATTAAATAATATTAATTAAACCGAGTTATGAACTATTAATTGTATAGATGGTATTTTCTCAATTAAAATGTAAATTATAGTACGAAAAAAGTCGTATTGAAGCATTGGTATTTTTTTTTACGAAAATAATTAAATAACTGATTAACAAAATTACAAAATGTATATGTGAAAATATAAACATGAATATTATGGATACTTTTATATGTATATCTGTATACATTCTAAGTCAAAATATCTAACAATGCAATATTGTAATATCAATTAGACAGTAAAAGTGTCACCTATATAGAATACCTATAGATTATAGCATAGTAAAACGTACAGATAGGAGCGGAGATTATCTTTAAGTTTTTTATTTTTCTTATAGGTATAATATGATTTTTTTTACATACCTATTTATATACCTATCCGATATCTACTATTATTGTGTTTTTTTTACAAAGATGTATTTTTGCATAGTAAAACATGTTGATATTTGTAGGTAAGTACTTATTAATTTTTTTGTATTTAAGTTCATGTTATGTAACAAGTGGTGTTCACAGATTAGCAAGGGGTCACAAGTAACAACCCCCTTGAAATGTCTTCCTCCGTGAAAATGTATTTCTACAAAATGCCCCTCTCCTTTATTATTATAGTAGTTGTACCTTATTATTATTATCACAACCCTCTCTGAAAAAAATCTGGGTGTGAAACTATCAATTTTAATTTATATATTTATTCCATTCTGCCTGTAATATAAGTAGTATGTATTTTATAGTGTTAAATTATGAAGGAAATAGTGGGATCTAAGTTGATATTTTTTCCGAGAAATAGTAAAGGACAATGAAAAGTGTTGAACATCTATTATCAACAGACATACAGCGAGTTATTTTATATTAATTTATAAATATTTATTCCTACAGTCTACTGAATCCTAGACTATGCACTCTAAACACTCTACACTCAACTATAAATATAATTGTACAATTTACAGGCATATTGGCATAATATACACATGCTTTAAGTAATTGTTATGCATATTATATTGTTTGCAAATGTATGATAATATACTTATCTAATAAATAGTTAATACGTTTTAGCCTTCAGATATCTATCTTTTTTTCTTATTTTTACTTACTCTACAAGTACCTTATACCAGCTATTGTCTATTGGCTATATTTATTTATTTATTTATTTATTATATGCTTACTTGAACTCTGGCCTCTGACAAACAAACTCTTCTTGCCAGCTCCTCTCTGACAAACGCGTCTGGATAATGAGTTCTTTCAAACACTTTTTCTAATGCTCGCAACTGACAACTGGAAAATGTTGTACGATTTCTTCTCGGCTTACTTTTCCGTTGACCGTCCGTCTCTGAATTCGTTTCTAAGAAGAAAGTAATAATGTTATATTCGCCATTCGCGTATTAACTCAACTGGTACCAGGTACTGGTATTTATAGATGTATAGTATGCCATTATATATTTAGATAATAATAATAGATAATGACAAAGGTATATAAATCAAATATTTTTTTATAAATACTGAAAGATAGACAGACTCGTGGTAATGTGGTATTATTACTAATAGCATTTTATATAATTTAATATCAATATTGTTTCAACTATTTATGTACATTTTTTAATTTTAAGATAAATAATAGTTTATAATTTTGTTTAATGAAGTAAAATTATTTTCCTGTATTTGTTTAACAACATATGCCAATATACATATAGGTGTATACATAATGTAATATATTCAGGCATCCGTCGCCGTGTTAAAAGCACATTATTTTCAACTTTTTGACATTTACATCCCAAATAGGACGAAGTAAAATAAGCCTTAATTGCCTTAAATATTTTCATTAGTGCACATAGATTAAACCCACCGTGAAATTAAAGCATTCTATGGAGAAATATTATTATTATTTTAGTTACCTATATGAGGAGTTATATAATGATATTTCGTTCATACTCCATACCCATATAACCGATCTTAAGTATAATAACTATATCAATAAAACAGTTATTATTTATGCTCCTACTTCCAAAATTGTTTTAAATTGTATATAATTGTTAAAATAATATATAAGATAATTAAATATATTGTATATTATAATATATGCAAGGTGTACCAGAATGACCAGATAAAAGAAATAACTTTTGTTCTAACTTCTGATCAATATTAAACATTTTGTATATACTTAATTTATAGATGCTTACGTTACAATATTACATTATGGAATTTTTTATTTTTATTTTTAATAGGCAATTAAAATTCAAAATAACTTATTTGTAAATCTTATATTTAAAAAAAAATTGATAGTCAAGTGGTTTATTGTTCGCAATTTATTTAAATATCAATAGTTGTTTGGAAGTTGTTTAGTCTAAAATTAATTTTAATTCGAAAGGTAATAACTTTTTCCAAAATATTATTTTTTGGAATTTTAACTAAAGGTAAATTTCAACTATTCGTATAATTTTCAAATTTTTTTTTCGTATATTTAACTAGTGTCAATTTTTATTTTCCATTTTCAGGTCTTTCTGGTACACCCCGTACCATATATATTATCATATATCTATTATAATAATTGTTCTAATACAAATTAAATATTATTTCAAAAATCCAACAAGAACCTGTTATATAACCCATAAGTTATTTAATATGGAATATATTACTATTGATACTTAAAAGATAAGCGGCGTACCTGTCAAAGTCTAACTTTCAATACTATCAATTTTATAAGAATCTATTGCAATTACAATAAATTATGTTGTATAAAATAAATAAATAAACTTAGTAATTAATAAAAAATGTATTATAGACGTTTGAAATTGAGTACAAAATGTAAGAAAGTCCAATAATTTGTTGTCCATGTACCCAGGTTGTATAAATTGTATATTAACTATTTGATTTTATAGTTAATACTTAAGATCAAGTACCTACCTACTTATAATATATTTATGGTATGAAGAAGTAGAACAATTTCACTAAAATTAACTATGTTGAAACTATTTATTTTACAGGTTCTTTATTAAGACAAAGTAATGAAATACGACTAGATTGATTTTGTCAAATATCCAAAATTAAAAATGAAGAATCTTAATTAAGATTCATAAAATATTTGATGTTTGTTTTTTTTTTGGTTTAAAACCAAATGTATTTCAGCGACTCATTAGTAGGGTTTTTTAAATGTAATTTAAAACATCTGTTTGAATTAGCATACATATTTTAATTTACACGTTTTTTATTTAACAAGCTATAATACAAATTAATCATATATTATGTGATTGTTTGCATTAATAATTTAAGTACCAACATAATATAATGTTTATATAATTTCTCACCCACTTACATCCCGCTCTCGACCGTAATATTCTTTTTAATATCAATTATGTTTTATTTTTTTTTAATTAATAGGGTAAAAATTAATTTAATAACGTAGGTATATTATATACACCCAAGACGAACACATAGCCGAGAGGTTTAAATTTACGGGAGACTAATGCAATGGAACATGTCCAATGACACAAATGACGACGTTAGTGTTTTGGTCTATTAACCATATATTAGTTAACCGGCCTAATAAATAACATTAACGAAAACATAAATCAGACGCATTTTAACAACATCCCGGGCACGGCGTGTGCATGACGTTTTTAAATTATTATGCATTTCCATATGCCACCAAGATTAACCGCTCTTTTAAATACTTTTTTGAAAATGTTTTGTGTAAGTTCCTTGTTCGGTTGTTTGTTTGTTTTTTGTTTTTTTTTCTTAATGTCTTTGTAATCAACCTTTCAACGAAAATAAAGGATACCTATTGAATTATAATAACTGTTCCTTCGTCTCTGCAATGTTCAATACCTATAATGTATTAACAATGATATACAGGCACGGCCTGCTTCTGGTTCGACAAAAGTGCCAATAACAATAATAAATAAAATATAAATAATTTATAACAATCAAATTATAATACTTACCTAAATGTGTTACAGCGTATTTTATAACATTTAATACATAATGGTATATTAATTAATCGGCCATATACTTGGGAAAATGACTGGCTTATTTTATAATAGGACAATAGGTACCTACTATTTACTATGCAGTCTATCAGTATAATACATGCGCACTTAAAGTATTTCGTATGCCAATATAAAAAATAAAAGGCGACTGACGCGGCAGATTATTGTCGAAGAGAAGATAGCTCGCGCCCGCTCGTTAGACATTTGGCAAGCGTCGAGCAATTAAAAACCGTTCGATCAATCGTCGGGGCAAGTATACACGGATTCCTGACCTTTAAGTCACGGACACGAAGACGTCGAAAACGTGGACGAGCGAGAAAAAAAAGTGAAAAAAACGTGCGATAAAATGCATTTTTGCCACAGTTTTAGATACCTAAATAATATCCATATATATATACATCCAGCCTGTGTCAAATGCGTTTACCGGCTTGCTATATATACCAATTATCAACCATTTATATAATTAGCATAATAAATAATATACATAATATACTTATTAATTATTATATACTATATCAATAACACTATAGATTGAGATTTTTTGCTCAATGTTTTTCTACTCAGCCGTCTTACTCGTAATAAGAACACTAGCTGTTTTTAATTTTATGACATACTTGTCCATATAAATTGCCTATATAATCCGGGGAATCTACGCGAGAAACTACGATTTATATATATATTGTCATCTGCATGCGAAATCATCGCATACGCACAAGTGACATCACATAACGTGATGGCTGCATCAATAGCCTTTGTGGATTTCGAAAAATGCCCGTTAAAAAAAGAGTAACCAAGTAATAGGAATTTACTAATCGTCGTTAACTCTGTAAAATGCTCAGCTTCGCTCGAAAAAAAAAACCAGGGGCAGTTCTCCCATCGCCGCAGCTATGACCTAAAATAATATACTGGCTGCTGCATGGCAGGACAACAAGACTTAAATTATAATAAAATTTATATATTTTATTATTATGCATTAGATGTGACACGTTAATACATCGTATTAAGAGGTATATATACAGTAGTAAGGAGGCAGGACTTACGGCAGTGCAGTCAGACGCGGGAGCGTCACTGCAGCAGCGGCTAAATTTAAATCCATAGACGTCTGTGAATGCGAAATAATTGCTGACCATATTGTGCTCGATTCATCACCAGATCTCGTTAAAAAAATTCACGTCAAAACAATAATAAAATAATATTCAAATTTCTATTCGCACTTATACCGCTTAGGAGATTAACGTTGGTCATGTTGGTGGTTGGTGGTGGGTATACCTCAGAGGTATCTGAGGTATCCCTCTGTATAATATATAATTTGTAGACGTATAACTTTTAAGTATCTGCTGCAGCCTATTTATTATAAATATATATTATTATTTCAGCTGTTTTATAATTTTATAATTCCGAACTTCTTATGGTAGTTATAATAATAAGTACCGTTGACAATATTGAATTTATTGTGATGTGCACTTAAATTAAATAAAAATTTCAAATCTGTTTAGATCTATCTAATATAAAGTGGCGATCGAACACTGTAGTTGTATACTGTTAAGTAATGAGTTTTGTAAACATTTCTCCTAAACTTATTTGCCTTTCTGCCCAATAAGAGTCTAAAAAATTATCAGAATCAATTTTATATTCTATGTTGATTTTATTTTTATGTTTTGTAAAATTTACGCTGTAAGGTGACATTTTTTTTTTTATTCTAATTTGTCGAGTTATTTTTACTGTAAATATAAAAATAAAATTCTTATAAAATTAAAAGCCTATCAAGCAGTTTACAACTGTAATTTGTTACAGCATTTTTAGGTGACACATTGATAAGTTATATTGTTATGTTTACTTCGTTCAACAGCTTATATGTATTTAAAATTTAAATATATAATATACAGCCATACATGAATACATGATGTCTGTATGAAACAGAAATAGCTGACGAATGTAATTAAGTAATATTAAATTATTAACTAACTAGTAAAGTAGTAACTACCAATGTATTAACTTTTGTTACAACAAATATGACATTTTTTTAAAATATTTAGATTACAATAATATTATCAAAAAAAAAAAAAACTCTCAAGAATAAAAGTAATTATAGGTATTTTGTTAATATTACATTGTCATTATTTCCGTCACATTCTGTATTGTATAGATATATGTGTATGTGTGAATGAGTGTGCGTGTGTGTGGTGTGCCAGTGCATTGTGTATTATATGAATTGTGTTTGAAGTCCTGCAAAGTTTCTGACACCATGCAACACGTTATAAGCACTTAAATGTTAGACTTTTTTAGTTATACAGACCATTTGTCACTTGATGGAAAATGGTGTACTCGTATGTAACACTAATCACTTCGTCAGCTACAGTGCGAATGCCATTACTCATTAACTCATTAAATATGGCCAATAAAGTATGAATTAATTGAAAAATATAATTAGTTTATTTATTTTCATTTTATTATTTTATTTCTAAAACTTATTATATCATGAAAGACATACTTTTAAAACTATTATTGTCCAACGTATTATATGATTAGGTATCAATTCTTCAGTCAAGTTTACTCATAAGATACAACGGTGGCTTGTTGAACAATTTTTAAGCTTTTGTAAAACAAAAAGATTAAGAAAAATAATATTTTTGACAGCAAAAAACAACATTGTATTTATTATTATAAATGACAATATTATATATGTTTTGCATTTTTATAATTTGTCATACACCCACCCATTTACAGCTTAATTAATTTTTTTCGAAAAAATCGTCTTCAGTACGCCACTGTTAGGTTAGGTTATTTTTTTTTATATTCCTATATTATTATTTATTTTATGGTTTACCGCAGACAGCCAAATAGGCATTTAAAATGATCATTTATAATCAACTCTGGTAAAATATTTGTTTTTTATTTCCGATTGATCAGATTCATTTATAATAACTCGTCCTCCGTCTTACTAACACAGGTATTACAGTAAATTTGAGTTAAGCAGATTGTTATCTACAGCGACCCATAATCAAACTCAAAAGTAAAAACATTATCTATGTTTGGACGTTAGTTTTCTTACAATTTTTTAAAAGAAGGGATGCTTTGATCCCTCCGCGTCCTGCTCAAATTCAAGCACATATGCTAGATAACAGTATACCTATATGGCCACATAATATCATATAAATTACATAATGTTATGTCATATTATATTCATTGTTCAGTAGTTTAAAGGTTGTAACTATTATTCAGAATTGTAAATGTCCTGATGGTGCAGTTGTAAATTAAATATAGTACATAGGTATACCTACATAATAGTTAATATTCGGTACAGAATACATCATACACTATTAGAATAACAAAATGATGAAATTTAAAAACAATTACAAATTTTAAGATGCAAAAAATAAAAATGAAACAAATAAATTAATTAATAAACTGATTGGTACTATAAATTATTAATACCTCCCGTATGGTGAAAAGTGAAAAAAAAAAAACTATTATTTTAGTTACCTATATAATAGTATATATTATAACAGTTGTACTTATCTAATACTTCCATTACACTTTTTAATATTTCAAAATTATGTTTTACAACGCTAGTCACTAAGTCTACTTTAAGTCTACTATTATTGTGGGAATATTTCTAATCCACTATCCATGTATGTTTTTAACATAACTACCTATATCCATTTTTAATTAACACTGAAAATCTCAGGTAGGTAAGGGAAATCTCATTTCGTACCTAAATCGTACGTATAGGTGTTATTTGGTAAGAAGATGCATGGAATCGATGATCCTGGGTGGGTTATAGCCACTTAAAAAGGCCACCACGTAACAACGTTCAATTAATCTTAAAATGACTTGTTTTTAATATTCTTTAAAAAAAATCTTAAAGTTTAAGATTAATATTAAAAAACAAAACTCATTATTTATGCATGGGTACCTAGCTTAACACGATATGAGTAACATTTTGTCATTTTTATGTATATATAGTACAGTGGTGTGCTTTGTATTTTTTAAAGGGTGGATATGCATTTTTGGCTCTTCTCAGACCACGTTATATATACATTTATTGCTTTATCTGTTATCTTACATTTTATATAAAATCCAAAAAGAGGGGTCAAAACACAATCATTCCCAAGGAAAGCTCTCCTCGATAATATTATATGATAATAACACTGAGTTTTACAAGAATTCAAATGTATCATTCGATTTTAAAAAAAAGTAGCCAAAAAGTATTACTTAACTGCCTAAGTGCCTAACTATAATAATTCCTCATAATTTATAAGTTTGTTCGACCCTAAAAAATGTGCAAAATGAACTTTTGTTCGAAATATAGCATGTGTAATAAACTAAAAAATATAAAGGTCATCAATTTTTAGAAAAAAATCACGTCACGCGGTGCAACAGGTCAGTTAATAGGATTCAACGCACGTGCGATTGACCCATAATACGTATGTTATATATAAGTGGACTCAGGGGTGAGCACAAGGAGCATTTCCTCTTCATTCAATATGTCAATATGTCAATCAGCCCTTCCAATAAACTTTTAGTCAAACAATACATTTTTGGTTTAATATCAGTATATACCTATAATTTAGTTGGTAACTACCGTCTATAGTCGTTGACTGTGAGACTTGAAAAAAATATACTTGGCTAATTCTTAAGTTATTATGATTATTAAAAGTTATAATACCAATTTTTTAAATTTATAAAAAATATAAGTAACAATAGTACATATAAAATTATATCTAATTATATCTAATTATATCGAATTCCATGCAGGTTCGCCCATTTAAGAGCTTTATTTACTCCCCGGTCACCCACGATACGTATTATAATATACTTACCGACTTCATAGCAGGGTGTCATGCAGGTGGCCGTTGGCCGCTTATTGTCGTCGGTCGCAATGGCCGGCCTCCGGACCTGCAACAGCGAGTCCACCGTGAACCTCTTGGTGTTTTCGGACGCGTACTCGTCCTCGGGTCTGCCGTACCCGCCGACGGCGGCGCCCTGTTCGCCGAGCATGTGCAAGACGAAACCACTTTCGAAACGCATACAAAAATTGCGACAGATATCGAGTACTGCAGCGAGCGACGCGCGTTATTAATGTAGATATGATATTACAATGTAATATTCCGCGACGGACCGCTATTAACTTTTTAAAAAAAAAATCAAAATAACAATATACAATCGACAGTAATTAAAAACAATACATAATATTACATAGCATAGGTAGCATATTATTACATAATATTAAAATATGCGCTTTACTGTGCTAATGTGCAGTTATCGAGGCGGAGGCGGTGGTACGCGAAGACATACTGTGACGACTCGAGACCCAAGATACTCAGTGACATCCTCACGTAAAAATATATCAAAACGAGACCGCCTCTACAGCGGACGCGCGTGCGTGCGAGCGACGAGCAGACGATATTATTTAGGGGGCGGCGGCGGCGGCCTTTTGGTAGGAGTCCAATCGCGGGTGTCCGCGCGAATTATGGTGTCTGTTCGAAAAACTGACAAGCGACCGCCGTCACCGTGCGCGCGTAGGTACCTATATATATATACATACGTGATAGGTATGTGATTCTTTTAACGGCGTCAACGCTGTAGCTCATTATTTTGAGTTTTTTCGGAAGACTTGAGAAGATGCATAATAATATCCCTTATGTATATATATAACGTATATAATATGTGCGATTTTAACATTATTATAATTTATAACCATTATATTGGGTACCCTTATTTCGTCGTCCCCGGTGGTTTGAGTGAAGGCTGTAAAGGATTGTAAATTGAGACTTTATGAGTGACATTTTTAATATTTTAATATTATTTTTAACACTCGTTCATTTATTCTAATTTATAAGGCGTAAATATTATACATTTGCGTATATTCATCCATCCTCCCCTTATTAGATACCTACAGGCCCTCTCGACTACAGTTTGCACTCGGCTGCTTGCACAGGCGTGCGTAGACCTATAAGATGATGGAACATACAAAATCAAATGGCCTAAATTTATAATAGCTTGTAATAATGTACCCACATTAAATATGTTCAAAAATCTATTTTTCTAGATATATAATGTATAAATTAGAATATAGTTATCAGTTGACTTTGATTTTAAGTTTAAAAAATATGTCTGATCATTTTCAGAGAAAAGTTAAGTTATTTTTTGAGCTCAGATTCATTAATCATAGTGGATATAGTAAATACATTCAAATATTAATTTGAAAACCATGAAATAATCAAAATAATATACCTACCACAAGTCAATGGTCCATTGCAACTACCAAGGCTTTGACTTTAAACAAAATGGAAGTGTATCTAGTTTGTACTTTAGGGCGTCAATTTTTTTAGTAGTTTACAAAAGGATAAGAAAAAACCATAAAACATTTTAAAAACGGGTATTATACTTAAAACCTAGTTTTGACAAAATCTATTTAGTTTTTGGGGTAATAGAAACGTAACTCAAAAACTGTTATGATTATTGTAGATACCTTACATTCTTACCAACTGTTTATATGATAATTTACTCTACATATTGACATTTTCCTATAGGCTATATTACACTTATGCCCCCCCCCCCCGTCCTCCAAAAACACACTATAATGGGAATTATAGAAACCAAATTAATGGCAATAATAATCATGGTATTTGAAATCTGAATAGGTATAGTACATATAGGTACCTACTGATAAATAAAAATTATGAGTGTAGAAAAATGCTTACAATATACATTGCAGTAGGTAGGTAGGTACCTATTTATCTTTAATTATTCAATGAATGTTGATATTAATAATATTATCAATTATCATTACTGTTCTTCTACTTAGGTAACCGTAAGTATAAGGCTCTCGCATACTGCAGCTGTACAGACAACTATTTACTACATTTAGTGCACTAGCCACCAATGCATCCTCATTATTTATTATTTATTATTTATTATTATAATCAATAATACATACGACCTTGTAAGTATGCAATTATCATGTCTGTAGATATCTTTAAAGGTTTACTAAGGAAACCATACATAACTGCATTAGATATGAATATAAATATATATTTTGTTGAATCACAAGGGTACCTCTTATATAGGTACCAAGATATTATATATACTTATAATCTATAATCACTCAAAGAACCCAAGTTTTACATGGTGTAATACAGGATGGGTATTATATCCATCTTGGCTTAATAATTGTATTATCATTTATCAAGGGGGACATTATGGACTTAACTTCACATAAATATGCCACTGCACCGTGCTATATTCAGCGCCAATGACACTACTGCCGTCTGCCATATTACCTACCTATATTGGCATATTGCTCTACTAATTACTATATTATGTTGACAGCGTACTAATATAGTACCTAACCTATGTATTGTGTGGCAACTGGCAAGAGATGAAGTGCGGAAAGTAAAGCTATTTAGGGCGACTAGCCTCAGGCGAGGGCTGCGTTTCACTTAAGAGTTTGAAATTGCCTTGCTCCACGCTCGCCTGCAGCAGATATGTCACAAGACACGACTGTCATTGGCACTATTTTTGTCACGTAGGTATTCGCCGCCTCCGTGGTGATGCATCACCAATTTTAATGATATTACGACATGTGTAAATGGTCATCCATATGAAGCTGCATCATTATTTCGTCGCTATTGGTAGAACAGCACGATTCTCTCGGAGAATCTAGTAAATGTTTGTTGGGTTTCGACAGAGATCAAGAAAATGACGATGAAAAACATAATAGACATAGAAAAAGAACAACATCTACCGTTCGGTTACAAAGTCCATCTGTTTCCTCATATTTTGTTTCTCAGTCAGGATTTGATTTGGATTTATATAAACCGAATGGAGAATTTACAAAGGCTATATTATTAAAAACTGGGAATACATTTCAAAATAATAATAATATTTGAAAAAAGACGGGTTATAATTTTTATTTTTTATTATTTTTTTTCATTTATCATTGACGGATTTCATAAAAAAAGTCGAACACTGATAACGGGAGCTAGATAGCAAACACTTGGGAATTTTTGAAAGTATCGGTAAGAAATGCAAATAAAGCGGTTGACCGTATACTTTTCAATGGGCCGCCGTACCGAAATCTCCACTCCGGGGGAATTGTCCTACGCCTACAGCTACCTACTTAACATTTGAGATACCTTCAAGTGAAAACTACAGTCAACAACACTTAAGCTGTTTTTCCGCTGTAACGAATACTGCATCAAACACTGTTTAAGCGATTAAATTCGTATGAGTCGTGTGTAATAAAAACTACGAATCGCATTTCCTCACGTTCCAGACGTGAATGTACCACGATTTCCGTCAATAGTTATACATATATATTGTACTTGGGTTGGTATACACACCGTTTGAATACAATTTATTCAAAGTTAATTTAAACTACCGCAGTGATGTGACAATTAATATCGCATATTATAAATTATAAATGTAAATAATGTAATCACAGCTGACATGTCGGTAGCATACGAAATGTGAATACTCAGCAATTTCTTATATATTTTGTTAGAAAATAAAAGATTTTTACTATATTATGTAATAGATGTATATTCATATATAATGAGTATAGATGATAGGTATATGATTTATTGATTTAACAACATCGACCGACCTACATCGACCGACCTACACACCTCACATACATATAACATATTTAATATACACGTAATCGGGTGTTTATTTTGATAATATAATAATTGTGGCTCACACGAATTGTGTGCTACATTACATTTCTAATTACCAATATGAGCGATCTATGGTTCGACCAAAACGTATTCGATCATAAGCCTCGCTCATAAATATTGATATAAATTGTAATAAACCGTCTAATAAACTTAAGAAAATTGCGACAACACAACGTAATGTTATGTCTTATGTACTTTGTTGAATTTATTTTTTAAAACGACATGTATATATGCATATTTATATACAGGTATAAACTTCCGCGCGCTCGGTTTGCGAACGCGGAGGCTACAGACCGAATTCGCAAACGAACCGAATATCGGCGGCTCTTAAAAACCGTCCAGAATGCGATTGAAAAGACGAAACGGATCGAGAAAAAACTAAAAGGTCTAGAAATATGCCTGCAATTTTTGAGATCGAAATCTTGGGCCCCACTAGAAAGAAAACCGGGCTCTGTGGACTGTAAAAACGTATGAGAAACGCGATAGGAGCACGAACGGCGCCGAAAAACGGTCGAAAACTGACAAAGTCGATAGATTTTGAAAAAAACAGACGCGTCTGATAACGTTTAACGCGATAAGGACGGCCGCCGGTAAAAACTGCCCGGCACTCGAGCTCCGGTTACACTGAGGTGTACTGTAGAATGGCTACACAAGTTGTTATTGCATAAAAATTATATTCAATTCAGAACTTTATAATTTATTTATTTGAGTTAGTTAACAATTATTAACAATCTTTAACTTTTTTTGTCTGAATAACACTAGTTTTAACAAAAAAAAATCTTATATAATCAATGACAATAGTTAATTAAGCTATTAAAATATCCATTATGTGAATATTGATTAAGACTTTAATAATAGCAATATTTAGAAAAATGTGAAAAATGATTTTTTTTTTATGTATAATAGGTAAGAATTTGTCATGAAAACATGTTATTGCTATTATTTTTAGTAATCTGATTCCTAGAAAAAATATTTCTAATGCTAATAATTTTAGAATGTTCATACTTCATAATATGCGTCGTAAAATTTTTTAATTACACCATTACAAAAATAAATAAACTACCAGTCTACATAACACAAACACAATATTTTGAATAAAAATACAATAAGAATAGAAACATAATAAAAATTGACTTTAAAATAGCCAAGGTGGGGTTGAGGGGCTCTGAAAATCTGAACAGGAACTTAAAAAAAAAATATATTTTCAAGGACATAACTAATAGTAGAAATCAACTGTTACATATCAGTATATCACTTATACTATAATATAAAGAAAAAAAAAAAATTTATTAGTTTTCCAGTATAAAATATTTAACAATTTCAAGGTATTAATTTTTTTAGGAAATATAAATCTAATAGAGTTAAAAAAATTCTTTGATTTAAAAAAACTATGACTATTTCAAGCGAGTATAAAACAATTACCATTCACAGAAAATCAGAATGAAATAAGTTTTTCCCTAAAAACAACTGAATAACAAATATAGCCGTAAATTTAATTTTAATTCAGTCTGATATGAATTATTAAACATCACATTTGAATTCCTTCATTATAAAACTATGCATACATATCAGTCTAGAATGTTGAACAAAAATCATGATAACATTTTCGAACAAGAAAAAAAATGTATT